GAACCCCCTGGCTACGGGCATGGGGCTGTTGTATAGTTAGTATAGTCATTTGCAAGGATGGTACGACACGCACGATTTTGTACTTGTTCGATGGTTGCTGTCTGTTTGGCGGGTAAGACTGTGGTGCCATACCGGTGAGCAGTACTCCAAGACAGGTCTGATAAATCCACAGTAGACAGTTACAGAAAGACAGAAAGTTCTCAGCTTTTGCAGAATGAAAAGCCATAACCCTAGCACTTTTAAAACATCCATAGATTTAACCCTATTCAGACCGGGGGGTAGGGCTTTTGAGGCCTGTGCCCACTTTCATCTCAAATAGCGCCTGAACGGCTTGAGCAAGAACAGTGAAATTTGGTGACTTTTCCTAAAAAATATCTGGGAACAATTTCATATTAATAAGATGTGTTCCTAATTTTTTGCGTTGCCTTGGCAACGGGTTTCTGACAGGCAGTTTTTCGAAAAATCAGTAATTTGGTTCAAACATAAAAATTTTCTAGGTTTCATGTTTAATTAAACTTCCTTTTTAACATAAATAACATCCTATATTTTGATATATAATTTCTATTATTGAATATTCATAATTTATGCTAATTTGATGACGTCATCGGTCAGAATTCAAGATGGTGGACCATATAATTAGCTGTTGTGCAACTATGTTTTTTTCACTAATTTTTCGCCTTAATTCCGTGTTTTTTTTCTCACATAAAACGTCCATATGAGCATCTTTAGTCCATTTGCGTTGCGTTTTGAGGCAAAATTTAAAAAAAAAGGCAATTTTCAAAATTCAAGATTTTCGATCCAAGATGGCCGACAGCTTAATTATGCATGACGTCATTTTATGACGCCATTTTGACGTCAGTGTTGTTGCCATGGGCAACATAAGTATAAGCAGACATTAAAATGCCATCATAGACCCTTTTATAAAAGTTTGGTTGTATTCCATTAACGTTTACGGAAAAAACTATTTTTGACGGTTTTACTCCCAAAAATCATATAAATGACGTCATAATGACGTCATATGACGTCATAATTACACAAATTGTTATAATGTATTCAATTGCTACATAATTCTCTGAAAATTTGGTGTCCCTACGATAAGTGGTTGTTGAGTTACAGGGGGAGGGCCTCAAAAGCCCCCCCCCTCTGAGCATGCCCAAAAAAGCCCGGTCTGAATAGGGTTAAGAACACTTCCATTCAGTATTATGGGCAAGAGTGGAAGAGGGTTCTTCATGAATAACACAGCCAGAGCCATGCACTTGTCCGAGTTGAGCTTTACACCAGCGTTTTTCGACCATTTCTTGAGAAAGTGTACTTGGTTCTGCTATTTTGACGCGTGTCTCTTTTTTTCCAAAAACAAATCGCCTACATGCCTTTAACAATCACTGTGCTGTTGGCTAGCTTCGTTGATCATACACATGAATGTAATGGGCCCAAGCTTTGTGACTTGCAGAATGGCTTGCATGTGATTCATAGTGTCAAAAGCTTTGCTGAAATCCGCTAGGACAACTGCTCCTATGTTCTTGCTAGTTTCAGCTTCCTTGTGCAGAAAGTGGATCAGACTCACCATGCAGTGTGCCGTGGAACTTCTCTTTATGCCGCCGAACTGACGTAGCTCAATGTTAGCCGAGATGTCAGATATTGTCCACTTTGCAACAAATTCTTCGCAGATCTTAGCAAATATCGAGGTAAGTGGTTTTGGGCGCAGTTTGTCGACTGTTGCCAAGAGCTCTTTCGGAGGGAAGGGTGGCTACTACAGCCCTCTTTCACGCACTTGGAACGACTCCTTCTCTACGTGATGTGTTAAATATGTCAGTAAGGGGTTCTAGGAGTTCATAGGCGAACATTTACACAATCCTGGATACAACACTGTCTTGGCCTCCCGCTTTACGTACTATAATATATCGATGTTACTCAGTTCTCTGAGCTGAGCTGGGACGCAAAGTTTCGTCTTTTCGAACGGTCTCGGACGGGCTTCGCTGCATTGAGCTGCCTCCTTGACCTTGTACATATGTAAATATGTGTAATGCTAACACCACTGATTTCCACTTGTCCTGCCCTTGCATTTGTCTACGGCCATCCCTATCCTACCCTTTGTTTGCACACAGTTACTAACATGGGCAGCTGCTAATAATCCTCCTAACAGAGGGATAAGCAGTCGAGAAGAACTTTAAAAAACCTGACGAAATTGACCTTAGCTATTAGAAAGAGACGTACAGCCACAGAGCATCGTAGTTATCAGAATTTGACTTGCAAAAAAATATGAAAAATAAAAAGATTCTACTTTTATCCTTTCTGATAACCCCCTGATATACTTGTTTAATTTTAATATTGTGTCCTAATGGTCCTCTAAACGTTAATATTAACACTGTCTTTAGAATTACAATGATCTTAATCTAAATTCCAAAAACAAGAATTCGGAGACCTCATATACCTCCATGAAATATATGAGTCTTTCTAAATGTTTTACACAGTACACTACACTACAGTACAGAACAAAATAACACAGGTTTTTGGTTTCAAACACACAGTAGCACCTTTGGCCTGGATATGGTCATGTAGGCTTTTCCCGAGGGAGAAACTCATTAATCAACCTGGGCAGGCGCTGCCATCACCCCGCACATCTGTTTTCCCTGCCACCCCGCACATCAGTTTTCCCTGCCTCCCCACACATCTGTTTTCCCGGAAGTTCTGCTGCAGTACCAAGGTCAGCCACCAGGAGGCCCATATTTAACCTTGACCTTGGGATTGCTAAGACCTAACAGCATACCAAATATCATCACAATCCATAAAGGCGTTCTGAAGTTATGCCGACTACAAATGTGAGGAAACACACACACACACACACACACGCACACAGAGGGAGACGTGCCAAAGACAATACCTCCATTTTTCATGGAGGTAATTAGCCACCATCATCAATGTTGTCAACACACACAGCTAAGCACTGCTCGGCAGAACATGTAGCGAGACTACAAGACAAAAGGTGGACGCTAAGAACCACTGAGTAGACACCCCGTGAATGAAGGAGACGTAAAGGACTGCCCCGCACGGAGTGGAGGGACAGTCTAGTACAACAGCTTGATCCTGCATAGCCCAGAAGTTCTGGACTTGACGGGGATTGGAGCCAGTCAAGGAAGAGCACCTTGGATAGAGCGAGTGAGTGAGTGAATGAGTTTGAGTGAGTGAGTAAGTGAGTGAGTGAGTGAGTGAGTGAGTGAGTGAGAGAGATTTGGGCATTAATCTTAAGGGTCTCCTATTGTGAAAAGAAAATACCATAACCAAAAAAGCTGGATGGTTTTAACTAGATTGCTTTACACAGTTCAAATATTGCTTACAAATATCAAGTATGAGCCGATATGTCCGACCCGCTTTTCCGACCTATTCATTCAGAAAAATGACAACTAAAACAACAAATAATTAAAAATAAAGATTACCTGGCTAACATAAAGCATGACAAAAACACAGGCTACAAAAATTACGAAAAATGCCGATGTCGCC